AAGAAGGTATTGAGGATGAGCTTGTTGGTGAAATCTAGTGGTTCCAACTATCAAATACGAAAGTTAATTGCTTGAGAGAAGAGAATTGTCAAAAAAATACTTTTCTTAATTTTCATAGAAAGTGACGCCTAAATATTTCTACCATGTGGTGGCCAAAATGACGACTATTAGGAAAACACTTTGTTATGTTCATATTAACAAACTACGCAGTACAACCAAAATAGACTGCAAAATTAATAAATTTTATTTGTAAATATTGTTCGTATTATGGACGACGAAGACCTTGATTTACAACTTAACGTGAACAACAAATACAAAGACTTTGACTTGCGACTTAGACGGCGAAGACCTTGATTTACAACTTAACATGGACAACAAATACAAAGACTTTGACTTGCAACTTGGATTTGGGTTTGTGACTTGCAACATAGAAATGGACGAGAAAAACCAAGATTTTAAACATTTACTTTATCTTTTCTAGAATATCATTTTAGGAATAAATTAAAATTTAGGGTTCTAAAAACATAGTCACAGAGTAGTTCTAAGAGATAGAGTTGCAAGCAAATTAAAATTTTAAAATTAGAATTAGAGTACACGATTAAAAAGGAAAAATAAATTAGGAAATATGGGGATGCTCCATTTTTGTTTTTTAATTAAGTTAATAGAGTTATTATCTTGTGAAACAAGAAAAAAGAAAATTTAAAATACTACCAAAAATATATTATATTATTTAATTAAATTATCTTGTAATCAAGTTTGACTTTGTAATTAAGTGGTTCAAATGATTTAAAGATAAAATCACAAATCAAATCAATTATATTAGTTTTAAAATTTTATAATTCAAATCAATCTAATTTTATATTAATTTAATTTGACTTTTAATTAAATTGAATCAATTTAAATCACATAAATTGAATTAAATAAGATATGAACACTTTTTGATGCAAGGGAGGTAGGGTTAGAACAAATAGAAACTAAGAATTTCGTAAAATTAAAAATGGAACCAAAAGAACTTAAATTTTTAACCTCAAGTTTATTCTTGGAAGCACCATTAATAATAAGGATCGATGATATGGTCGGAGTCTTTTTATTTTCTTATTGTTTTATTTTTCATTTTCCTTTTCTTTTGGGCTGGGCCATATTCTAGTTTTGGGCCATTAAAAAAAGAATGGAATGGAATAACTGGACTGGGCCACAAGGCCATGATACTTTTTTTTTAAAAAATTTGTAACAATTAATTAAATTGATTAATTAACTGGAGCACTCTTTCTTAGAAAAAAAAAAAAAGAAAAACTTTTTGCAAGCATTATTTTAGCTAAGTAATAGTTTTGTTAAAAAAACTAAGTTCATTAACCATCAAAATCCCCTTTTATTTTTTTTTAGGGCATAGACTTCATTTTGTTGTTATTGAATTATGTCCAAATTTTCTTTAAAATTGTCTCCATTGAAATAAATTATTACTTAAAAAATATTGATGCAATTTATAATTAAACTTTTTTTATCAAATCACCTTAAATTTTTGTTTAGAAAAATAAAATAATTTAAATTTAACAGCTATAATTAACCTATTGTTATATTTTTTAAGAGTAATAGTTTACCCTAATTTGATAATAAATATATATAAAAAAATTTTAACATTTAAATAATTTCATTAAAATATGCATGAAAAGATTCAATATACCCGCGCCTAGTCTAGCGCCGTTCGAGCAGTTGCATAGGTGTGTTTTCCCAATTCAGCAGACCTTTTATCGGCAAATTTTGTTCGAGAAAAGCAATTATGGTTCCCCAGGAATGGCTTGTTGAAGACGAGAGCGCCAAGGAGATGCTCGATAGGGTTCAGACGGAGCGGCCCTTCTTCCTTCTTCCTCCTCTTCATGGGGTTCCTCTGCGCGTCGGCAATGTCGTCGAAATTGTTGGTCCTTCTCCTTCCGCCAAAACCCACATCTTGATTCAGGTAATCCTGCTTCAACTCTGATCCACCAGTTCTCCTTTCTTTGTACTTACATTAATCTAAGTGGGATTGTTCAAAATTGCAGGCTGCAATCAACTGCATCCTGCCTCAAGAGTCGGATGGCGTCAAGTATCGAGGACTCGGGCGTTTAGTGATGTTCCTAGATTTGGATTGTCACTTTGACATTTTACGGTTTTCGGAATTGTTCAAGCTTCGGACGTTGGAAGCCAGAGGTAAACTTCTTGAGTTTTAATCTGTAAAGAATTTTTTGGTTAGCGGTGGTGGATACTCCTTAAAAACAAGCACTTCCATATGAAGCTAGGAATAGCAAAAGCAAAGCTTAATGTCTAACTTTCCAAGAATACCCATTTCTTAATCGTTCCCAAATTTATCTTATTTTTATAGTTTGATGAAAGCATAGCCATTACCTCCAACCAAACATGATGTAAGGATGTAGTAATCCTTTATAGCTCGTTTGGTTTGATGGGAGTAGGATAAATTTTGCTATTTGAATAGCAAAAATTGAAGGGAAGGGAAGGCAAGGGAAGGCAAGGGAGGGGAGGAGCTCCCCTTTAATTTTCTTTATTATAATTTTAGCATAACCAAACTAGGGAATGGAAGGGGAGCAAAACAGAGGGAAATGGAAGGATATTGTCTTCCCTTCCCCTCCCCTCCCCTCCCCTCCCCTCCCTTCCTCTCCCTCCTTTTCCCTCAAACCAAACATGGGGTTAGTGTTGTCAGAAATGCATACCCAAGACCTATTAGATGTTTGGACTTATTGCGCAGGTGATCAGAGAATGTTTCTTGAGGTTTGTGAAATTTCTCAACATATTATCATCATCTATATTCTTTAAACTGCAAAAGTTATATGGATTTTCTAAAGCTGTTCTTGAACTTTTTCACATTTTAGCTTTACTTTCCATCTTTCACAAGCAATAAATTTTAAACATTTAGTGTAGAGTGAATTCCCTTTCTAACATTCGGTTTTGCCATGTGAAATATTGCTATTGGTTTGCAAGTCATTTAGCTAAGCTAAAACATCTTAACCGTAAAAAATTCTGTTTTCTTGTCTGGGGTGTTTTTCAGAAATATAGTGGTAGTGCTACTGATATCTATGTTCTCTCATGAATGTGGTTTTACATTTTACCCTTAATTAGGAAATATTTGTTTTTTAGCTGATTATTGAGCAAAGATAAATCCGTTGCATTTTTGTTTAAGGTAGAGACCAAGGCCAGGGATCAACAACCCACCATAATACTAACTTCAGTCCCTGCACTAGGTGCAGCTTTTGGTGCAAAATTTCTTGAAGTATCTGGCATGTTGTTTTCTTTGAGTTCTTTGCAAGCTCAGTGTCATTCATTTTAGATATCTTTGACTTGCATACATGGTTAATTTATTTAGCAGTTGCCTTACAGTTTTGGATTTTATAAATATTATTACTATCCCTTTTCCGGTGGAGAGGCCATATACTAAAGATACTATTTTACCCTCATGTCAAAAGTTAGAAACTACTATTCTCATTATCCAAACTTACTTACCTAGTCAAAATTTTCACTTACAAGCTGTTAAGAAAATTAAAAAAGGGAGAAGCTAGAAGCAAAAACTGAAAGAAAGGCATAGTTCTTATTATTATGAGATGATGTTACTGTCAAGTGCAAAGCCTTTATATATAGGCTTAGTGACGCATTGGCCAAGAAACGAATAATCAATCCATAATAATTCCAAATCAACTCTAAGGCCTATTACTATAATTGACTCAATCACTATTAATACAGTCTTCTAATATCTCTTAACACAAGTTTAGTCTTTTTTGTTTAGAATTTCAAAATTTGTAAATACTAAAACTAAAGTTAAAACCACAATTATACTAAACAAAGCCTAATTAGGCAATTTTGAGCCTATTTTTCTGATTACATGGCATTTTCTTTTCTTGGTGTCAAACTAGTTACATGTAAAGAAAGAGTTAACCAATCTTATTTGGCTACTTGTAAAGAAAATGTCATGTCATGGAAAAACTAAGCCCAAAATCAGCAAGAGCTTAATGGGTATTGAAGGGGAAAAGACAGAATTATGATGTATGATTACTTCATCTATTAAATTATGGCTAATTTATTTCAACAGAAATGTAGGAGGGCTAATTCATTCAACTTGAAAGTTTGAGGAGACATTTATTTTAAGAATAAGGGTTCATTTCAATAGTCACTGGAAGTGGAGAGGTAAATATACCCTTTTTGCCTTCTTTTTTATTCCCATTTATTCTAAATTATCTAGGCATATGAGCTGTCTTTGCCTTATGTTATTTTCTGCTAGGTTGATATCTTCTACCGTATGGAAGAGATGGTGGTGTAATTCATCAATCTTTTGAAATGTGCTTTACTTTAAAGTGTTTTACTTTACAGGAAAGCATTTGCTGACAATCTACAAGATCAGAGTTCAGGAGAAAGAGAAAGAGAACTGGCTTTAAACAGCTCCGAAAGGGGTGAAAGACAGTGCGATTTAGAATCTCATACTGATGGTGATGGATATAGATGCCAGATAAACAGTGGTATCTGGAAGCTGCTGAAACTGGTGCTAGTGTTGAATCAACAACACAGAATGTTAACCACAGGCATTGTATCAATGGTTTTTCAGATGTTATCAGCAGTCCCCACAATATGGATGTTGATGACTCTGCTGGAGTTCATTGGGAATGCAAAGCTACAATTGAAGATATTAACCGTAGGGTTGAACTTAATCCTCACCAAATTGTGAACCCTGGCAAAGAGAGTGATTTAAGTGGTGCAAATGAGGGTGCAAAGGTTGGTTTATTGTCCTTCTCTTTATCGCTATAGTTCTTTAACTCTTTTATTTCATTGTTTGGCTTAGTCTTGCATAAGATGGTGCAATTTTATGAGATCCCCTCTTGGGGTAGACATGCAGACACTTGTTAGCAAAGCTTACCTAGCAGTTTAAGGCTTTAAGCTATTATAGCAAGTGACCATTTAACATTATATTAGGATTGACTTATAGCAAAGCTATTAGCCTATCATAACCACTGACCACTTGACTTAAAAGTCTCAGGGTTTGGATCTGTACAATCTTTATATGTTAATATTGAAGTTAAGCACTTTTATAAGTAAGGTCATATGCTTCAAGTGCTTGCAAAGGCTAACAGGCTTGTGGGTTAACCCAGTCCTTGCAAGTAAGGATGTATATTAGATCTATATAATGCTTAGGCCTTGCATATTAGGCTAGCTTAACCTTTTATGACAAGTGGCAATACAGCTTAAAACAATAAATAGTATTATGGGTGAATTAAAACTTAACAGGGAGAAAAAATCATCCGAGGTTTGGTTGGTTTAAGTACATTGAAGTCCAATTTCTAAATATTGTGCTTGTCATCTGACAAAGCAATATGCCCAAGGGATGATGTAGTTCTTTTGGGGCTATGTTACTGTAAAGAGGAACATTTTGTGGAGACAAGTGTGTTTTTTGAACTGGGAAAGTGTATTTCACAAAAAACCTCATAGTAGTTTTGGTAATTCACCTGAACACCAATAATAGTAAATCCTATTGAAGCTATGAACTAGCCAAAATTGTATGCTAAAATATGAAGGCACTCACCTAACAGAATCATGGTTATAACATTGAATTTTTTACTGGATTGAGGTAATTTTTCCCACCTCTCTCAAAAAGAAGTATACAATGCACATCTGACATGCAGATATTCAATTTTTATTTGGATTAAGGAAACTTAAGGTCATACCTGCATCTTTTTAAAGTGTTTAATTTGTGTCCAAGTTGATTTGATGTGAGGGGATTGAATAACATAAAAATAGACACATCTCCCCCCTGTAATGTTGTTGATTATATATGATTGAAATGGAGCTAAATGACTATGCTTTTTAGTGTTCCTTTTATCATTCTGTTATTTAATGACATATTTATCTATGAGCCTGTTGCTGGATGCAGGCTGTTGTGGTGGAATTGACTACTCCATCCACACCTGGTTGCAAAGGCGAAGATGGTACCAATGGAGAAGTGGCTCCTGGCAATGTGTTTTCCATTCAACATCTATGCCTGTTGGTACTGATTCTCGAAGTGTTAACCGATCCGATTCTAAGGATTCCAATTCTGCCAAAATACAGAAGACCATAGCCTCAAAGGAAAACATCTTGTCAAAAACTGCTTTGAGAGTTCTACATTGTAAAAGAGATGAACTGGTTAGATTTTTTTTTTCTTTTACTTTGTTGAAACAATTCCCAAGATGCATCCCTCCTTTGACTTGGCAAACACAAAGATAACTAGATTCATAATTAATATGGAGTTGATTACAATTTCAGGTTTATGTTGATGAGATTGATATAATGATTGTGTGAATTTTTGAAGTGAATTTCACTATTTTGAATGAAAACTGTGAACTTTGGATATTCCAGTTGGTTGATTTTACCACACAGATTTTATCAGTTAGTGAATCTTGTTGTTTTGATTATTCTGGCTCTTCTATTTCATATTCACAGTTGGTTCATTGTGTTCTTTTGCATCTTCCTTTCTACGTGAAGATACTTGTAAATTTTACATAAATTATGTTGCTCATCCTCAGGTTCTTAATCAACGTCTCATAGAGGATAAGATTGCTCAGTATGATAAAAAGATCCAGACAATCATGAGTGGTATGTTTTCACAGTTTTCTTTTCTGTTATTCATCTCCTTAATGATACAACCATCCTATACTTTTTTTCCTTTCTAGCGTTACTTCATTAGTATTTGGAAATGGCAGACTACCAATTAAAAATCACTAAAATTGGTCTTAGAATGTAATAATTATCATAAAATTGCAAACTTGAGTCTCCTGAACAGTGGCTCTGTTTATAAAGGAATAGAAAAGGAAGAGCATATCAAGTAAAACTGGAGGTTCCAGTTTAGTACATGTTCAGCCTGCACTATGTTCTAGGTAATTTTCTTTGCAGTAAAAGAGCTCACTATATTTGCTTGAACTGTCATATTCTATGCTTTTTGTCAGAAATTTTTTAAGACCCGTAGCCAGCAAGTTAAAGGAACTGAAATTTTATAAAATGCATAGATGCTGTAGTAAAGAGGTTATGCTGGTTAAAAGATGATTGTGCTCAGGTAGATTTCTAAAAGTAATTAAATTCTATTCTCATCATCCACATCTTCCCTCATTGAAATCTGGGTTGCTTATTTGATATTGTGAGCTATTACACTGATTTCAACTGATAAACCAGTCAGTATCATCGAGAAAAATAACTATTATGCTAAGAATGACGAAAGTATTGCCCTTTCCAGGCATTTGCATCCTGGTCTGTAATTTAATGATTTATAGAAAATAAAAATTAACCATAAAACTTAGAGTGTGAATCATCTGATGCTTCAATCTGTCCACTGCAAAATGATGCTTCCTGACTTACCGTTCACAACTAAGTTTAAATAGTCTAGAATAATGGTCTCTATCTAAATTAGTCATAACTGCCTAACTGATCAACTAGAGTAGCCTAAAGAGATGGAACACACAATTTAATTAAAAAATAGTGCAGGAATCAATGAAAAGTAAATTAAGTAGTACTAATTCATGAAAACTGAATTGCATTATTAAAACTTGGCATGGATGAAATTACATCCTAACAGACATAAATTAGTTACATTATTACAACACTAGAATCTTAGCATATTATCCAAGATTAAATAGTAGCAATTGGTGACACACCTCTCAATCAAATAAAACCATGCTCGTCGCCAATATGGATTTATGTATAGGACTGCTCCAATTGATAACAAAACAACCACATAAGTAACTAAAAAGCTTATATAGAAAACATCCATATCTATCAAACTGCCTTCTCTTTTTTCATCTAAGGAATTTGGTACCTTTGGTTGTGCATTAGTTTCCTTGCAACTTTTTTCCAATGGAGGTCCACAAAGAAGCGGGTTTCCCTCATAACTGCTGTTGTCAAAGGTTTCAAATTGTCCTTTTCCATATGGGATAGGACCTAAAAGATTGTTGTGTGCAACACTAAAAACTGCCAAAGAGTTTAGCTCAGTAAGTTGAGATGGAATCTCACCATTCAAATCATTGAAAGAAAGGTCCAAGCTCTCAAGTTGTTTCAA